GCTTTCTTTTTCCACTGTAGACAACTCTATTCATGAGTGAGTCATTGGCTTGACCCGCTAGATCAGTGTTTCCACAGACCATTGTCAGGGGTTCCGCGAGAAATCGTGGAATAAATAAATAATTTTTTTTTCTTACAATGTAAGGCTTACACACACACACACACACACACACACACACACACACACACACACACACACACACTTTCTTTTTCCACTGTAGACAACTCTATTCATGAGTGAGTCATTGGCTTGACCCGCTAGATCAGTGTTTCCACAGACCATTGTCAGGGGTTCCGCGAGAAATCGTGGAATAAATAAATAATTTTTTTTTCTTACAATGTAAGGCTTACACACACACACACACACACACACACACACACACACACACACACACACACACACACACACACAAACAGCTCTTTACAAATAAATTTTCTTGACAATAATTTAGCAGTAATTGAATCACGCTCCCCGCTGTCAACATGCCTACTCACATGTTACAAGTTAGGCACCTTGTTTAAGGAACCTTGTTGAATCAGGAGCCATGTTGTCTCAGCCTAGAAGGGAAGATGGACCTAATCCATCTGCCCCTTAGAGAGATAGGGCCAAATTCATCAGTAGCATAGGACAACGCTGCCCTAGAAGGCACCATCACTGGAATTTAAAGCACTCAGGTGCAAAGCCAATTGCACTGCTCAAATTTCTTGCTGCTTCTCCTGCTGTCATCAGCCCCCCTGCTCTGCAGACTCATCTCCAGCATCATCTCCAGTGCTATTCCTGCACCCTCTCTCCCACCCAGACACCCCACTCTCAGCCTACTCCTGCACCCTCCCTCTCACCCAGACCCCCCCCTATCCCTAGCCTGCTTCTGCATCCTACTTCTCACCCAGACCTCGCACCCTCACAAGGCTGCAAACCGAGACAGAAGGTTGTAGAATGACCATGACCCTGCAGCTGGAACGACTTTCTCCAGATTCAGCCTGTGGAGAAAGTTATCTCTAACCCCAGTGCCCTTGTATGCTGTTTGTAGCTCCCACTGTTCTCCCACAGACCCTTCCTGAAGGAGATCTCTCTGCTGGGACCCTGTTATTTATTAGCCTAGGGAGCAGCTATCATTGTGAGTTTAAGATAATCACTTTTGTTCTGCTGCATTGGGAGGGGGGGTATTTATTCCTAATCAAGAGAGTGATACTGTGTGTCAATATTGACCCCCCCACTGAGCAGGGTTTGGTTCATAAGCCCCCAGCACTCGCTTACTGGCAGGCTGAGTCCTAGTTGTGTGACCACTAGGTTCCTGCACGTGCCCTGCCTTCAAAGGCACCTACATCTTAGCAGAAGCTTTACGTTCACAGGCGCAAGGACACTGGTCAGATCCTGAGCTAATGTGAACTGCTAGGGCCCTGCCGAAGCTAGGGCCAGAGTACAAAGGCATTTAGGTGCCTAAAGAGGCAGATGGGCTTCTACCAGGACTTTCAAAAGCTCCTAAGCAGGTTAAGTGCCAAACTCCCAGTGAAAGGTAGTAGGGAATAGGTGTCCAACTCGCTTGTCAATCCAGCTAAGCACCTGCCTACGTGTTTAAGTGTTTCTCAATCTGGCCTCTTTGCTGGTTTGCATCAGCTGAGCCTTCTGCTCTAGCTCCTTGGCAGGTGAATTCACTTCTGTCCCGCTGTGTATTTAGAGTGACGCATTAATCTAAATGCATCCAAGGCTGGTGCATTGGTTGTATTTTGTTTCCTCGGTTTCCCTGGGCATTGTATGCTAATCGCATTGTGCCACTAAGCTGCTTGCCACTGTACATTTTGTAGATTTCAGAACAAGAGAGTTAGCCAGGAATCACTGACCTACCTCGTGTGCTTGACGAGATGCACACATTGTACTGTAATGTGGTATTGGCATCAGCTGGCATGCTCCATATGTGTGATTGACAGGATTGGCTACTCTGGCTTTTCAGACTATCAGTAATGTTATAGGAGTGCCTTCGCCCACTCGTCCTTGCGCGGCATCAAATTCTTTGGGGCCTGATCATCTTCTCATTTAGAGATGTGTGTATCAGGAGCCCACGTCATTGAAGCAAGAGGAATTACCCCCATGTCAAACTTGTGCGAGTCTGTGGAAAATCAAAACCCATGTTACTTATCCAGCCTTAGGTTGTAACAAATATGAGCACAGAGAGTTCCCCTTTGAAACCTGATTTTGTTTAGCTCTGTCCCAATGTAATAGCCACAGAGAGTTTTAACTGAAACCTGTTCTCTCCCTAGAGATACATGAATCTCCCCCCGCGCGCACACACATACAATGCCAGCAAGTAGAATTAAAAGGACACGATGCTTTTTATGACAACTAATAGGACAAAAATGCTTTTTATGAAACCTACTACAAAAAATGGCCAGGATTTTTATTAATTCGGTACATTTATATCAGTGCATTTAAACATTCCCTAGAATAGCAGCAGAGATTAATAATTGAAACTGCATGATTGGTTTGGGGAAGCACTTGGAATACTAGATAAAAATAGAGCTGCTTAACAAATTGGACATTTCTGTGATTTTCTTTATTCGTATTTTTGAATATTTTGACCGGCCTATATTATGATTGAAAAAGAAAATATTTGTGGTTTTATTTTTACTTTTTGCAAACTTTTTAAAATGTCTTGACCAGCTCTAGAAGAAAGTCAGTTGGATTTTTCTTTCAAATCTAGGTAGTATGCCTTTAAAACTCTTTATTCTTCCATCACAACAACTGATATCTAGCCAGAAATGCTGATAACACTAATGTTAATAACAATATCTAAGTTGCAGGGGAACAATACAACTTTGCAGACAGTCATTTTATTTCCCACTCCTCGTACTCATGCGCCTTCCCCGGCTCCACACGTTTGCAGATTTTGGTTGCGATTTTAAATAGCAAAACTGCCGTTTGTTCTCATGGTAACGAGCCAGTAAGCATTTTCGTCCCCTCTTTTGACTTCAGATGGGAAATCGGAGGAACCATTTTCACCTACCTTCCCACCTGTGTGCGCTTTCTCACCACTTGTCTTTGCTCAGAAATGAGGCTGTTGTTGGAACATGCTCTTGAGGGGCTGCATTAACTTACATGATGTTTGACCTGGCTTTGCCCTCAGTGTCCGCTTCTAGGGCAAAATGGTGCTTAGCATCAGACCAGCTGCAAAGGTGTGCTTAACGCCACACCGGTTAATAGGGCTCCTCAAAGTCAGGTTCTGCTAACCAGCCTCCTTTTTGAATTAGGACAATGCCTCTGTGGAGTGATGCCAGAACCCTGAGCTGGCCCACACGCAGGAGTTTCTGTGGGGGATGCTTTTTTGTAGATGTGGACCGCAAGGGGGTGACTGCACCCCCTATGGTCCCCCAAGTAAGCGGGGAAATCAGCCCCAGCCTTCCCCTGGCCAGCCAGACCATGGAGGAGGGAGGCACTGGTATCGCACTGCTCCTGCCTTCCTGTGGCAGGCCGAAGCATGCTGACTTGCAGGACCATGGGGGGGTTCACCTCCTTCGCAGCCCCCTGCGTATGGGCCTCTTCAGTAGCTAAGGTTCTGGATGAAAGCAGACGTGGAGAAAGAGCAGAAAGGAGGAAATGGCTTAGCCCTGTTGGTTGAGGTATATATGGTGGGAGGGATAGCTTAGTGGTTTGTGCATTGGCCTGCTAAGCCCAGGGTTGTGAGTTCAATCCTTAAGGGGGTCATTTAGGGATCTGGGGCAAATATGTCAGGGATAGTGCTTGGTCTTGCCATGAGGGCAGGGGACTGGACTCAATGACCTTGCAAGGTCCCTTCCAGCCCTATGAGATAGGTCTATTTCATTTCATTTCATCTGCATCTCAGCAGGCATAAATGTCTGTTTGTGGAGATGAGACCAAACCCCCTTGGGTTTGATGCTCCTCTTATTTACGTGGGTGTTCCCCTGGTGTAGCCGAAAGCAGAAGTTGGTCCCTTTATCTTCATTAGGACAGAACCTCTCTGATAGGAAGAGCCACATCACGTGCAGCGGCAGATTTTTGATGCCTTGCGAATCTCATTCAGTCCTCCCACCTGAGAGCATCTGCAATGGAGTCTTGGAACTAGGCGTATCCAAATGCCACCGGGTGATTTGTATCCATTCCACCAGCCTCTTTCGGGTGACGTCTCTCAGCCCTTAGGGCCTGATCCAGTGCTCACTGATGTCTGTGGAAAACCTCTCATTGACTTCAGTGGGATTTGGTTCAGATCTGTGCTGCACATGCCTCTGAAACCTTAATCCCGAGAGGTGCGCACAACCCCAAGGGATCTGAAGTCCACAGAGAGCTGAAACCACCGCACCCTGCACTACCACTTTGCTCGCACTCGCGGGCCAGAGTCTGCTGAGATTCACCAGGGCAAATCCAGCATCACTCCGCTAAAGTCTGCGTTTACACTGGGGTAACTCAGAGCAAAATGTTGGCCCGGTGGATTCTCCAAGTGCAGTCCAGTCTTTGTGAGAAATGGAGTTGAAACTGACAAGGCCTCTCACACCAAGAGCCACGGACCTT